AAAAAAAAAAAAAAAAAAAAAAAAAAAAAAAATGCATCAAAAAGGATAAATGCAAATTTTCTGGGCATTTGGAAATTTATAAAACTTTTAAAATAATTCACAAAGTCCTAGGGTTATAGCCTAGTGGTAGAGCATTCATTCAGAATCCTAGGGTTATAGCCTAGAGGTAGAGCATTCATTCACAAAATCAGTCATAGGGTTAGAGCCTAGTGGTAGAGCATTTATGAAGTCCTAGTTTGATCACCCCTACCACATACACAAGAAAACAAGTCATAAAAGGAGCTTTGGAGATGGCAAAAGGTGCTTGTGTCTGAGGACTAGAGTTTCCAAAGCTCAGTGGGCATGAAGACCAACCTGTAATCCCAGCATATAGGAGGCAGGATCAGGGATTCCCAGACTAGCTCAAAACATGGAACTCTGCATTCAACAAGATACTCTTCCTTGACATGTAGGACATGTGAGAGCCGTCGGGGAAGATGTCTACTGTCAGGCTCAGCTCTACATGTCTGTGCATACACAGACATTCACAAGTTCATGAAAGTAATTGGAATGTTTTAAAAATTAAATAATGAAAATATTGTAATGGCATAGAAAACCTCATGGGTTGTGGAAAAGTGGAGTATTAAAACAGTTGGATATATGACATATACCTATAATCCCAGCACTTTTGAAGCTGAGGCAGGAGGATCACAAGTTAGTGGCTGGTCTGAGCTATACAGTGACTTCCTAGATCATCCTGAGGTATATACCATACCCATCTCAAAACAATTCCACTCCCCCCCCAAAAAAAAAACCCCTGAGTATGTTCCTCAGTGCTGAGTGCTTTCCTACCATGTGATCCTCAGCCCCAAATAGGGGTGGAGTTTTATAAGAGAAGAAAGCCTGGAGCCAGGTATAACAGCTCTCATCTATAATTCTAGCACTCCAGAAGCTGATGATGGAAGACTGCCTTGAGTCCTCTTTTAAAAAAGAAAAACAATGCTGGGCAGTGGTGGCGCACGCCTTTAATCCCAGCACTTGGGAGGCAGAGGCAGGCAGATTTCTGAGTTTGAGGCCAGCCTGGTCTACAGAGTGAGTTCCAGGACAGCCAGGGCTACACAGAGAAATCCTGTCTTGGAATACCAAAAAAACAAACAAAACAACAACAAAGAAAACAAGTCAAATCCAAACAAAAAGACATTCTGTAGATGTAACCAGCTGTCTAAAACGGGACAGGGTGAGCTGAAGAGATGGCTCAGTAGTTAAGACAACTGGCTGCCTTTCCAGAGGACTCGTGTTCAGTTTCCAGCACTAACGTGGCAGTTCCCAACTGTCTATAACTCCAGTTCCAGGGCATCTGACATGATTGCACCAATGCAAATAAAATAAAATAACACAGACATAAAGGGACAGTGTATATAGCTATGTTGGTAGTTTGTCTAGCATGCGTCAGTCCTTGGGATCCAGTCCCAGCACCGTGGAAATGGGGCATGGTGGGCATGTCATCCTAGCACTTGGAAAGTAGAGGCAGGCAGATCAAAAGTTCAAAGTGATCTTCAACTAGCCAGTGATGGTGATGCAGCCTGGGATACAAAAAACAAAACTTGTCTTGAAAAGAAAGATACTAACTATATGGAACATAAAATCAAACCTTACAAAAGTAGGAAACAATATGGATGCTTCATGATACAGACAACAGAGGCTCCACAGAGCACACAGGAGCAGCATCTGCACATTTATAACTAAACTTTCTGGTCCAGTCAACTCAGGAGGAAAAGGATGACACAGTAAGTAGCAGAAATGAAAAGACAGAGAACACATGAACTTCATGTTTGAAAAACGATGAGCCAGTGGTGATGGCATGTGCCTTGGTCCCAGCTCTCTGGAGGCAGAGGCCAGCCTGATCTACAGTGAGTTCCAGACCAACCAAGGATATTCAGTGAGATTCTATCTTTAAAAAAAAGGAAAGAAAAAGGACATGAAATGCACACTAAACTCAAAAAATGACTCAGGAGCCCAAATAGTATATATAGTTATTAAATAACTTGAACCAGTAGTTAAAATTATGCCTACACAGAGCACACAAGTGGTGCATACCTTTAATCCCAGCACTTGGGAGGCAGAGGCAGCCTGGTCTACATAGCGAGTTCCAGGACAGCAGAGCTACCTAATAGACCCTGTCTTGAAAAAAGACAAAACAAAAATATATATGTTCACAAAGAAACATAAGGCTCAGATGGCTTTATAGGTGAGTTTTTATCAAACATTCAAGAGCAGTTCATTTCTATATGATGTAAACTCTTCAATAAAGTAAGACAAGAGGCAATAGTCCCCAGCTCAGAGGGTACACAGACCAAAAGGACCATCCAGGACCATCTTTAGAAACCTCTTTAGAAATCTTACTAAAAACAAAGGCACTCATATACAAGAATGTTCATAGCAGCACTGTGTATAATAACAAAAGCCTGCAAACAGCCCAGATGTCATTCACAGGTGAGTGGCTGAGGAAGCTGCCTGCTGGAGATTACACAGATGAAATGAACAAGTCATAGCAATCACAACAGAGGAGTCTCAGGAACAATGATGAAGTGCAAAAAAGCAAACCTCAAGGAACATAGTACAACATTTTTGTAAAGCTAAAAATACAAGCAATATAAAATAATACATTCTTAAAGAATATATACACACATGGCCAATATATATAAACAAGTGATTAATGAGCATAAAATTAAAGAGGCCAGGCAAGGGGGCAAAAACCTAATACATTTAATGTATAAATTGAATGATGGGTCATAGATACTCATTGCATTTCATAATTTATAGTACATATTTCTTTATAGATATCAAATATTATAATTTTAAAAAAAAATTTGCTCTCATGGAAATAAATGGACTAATGGGTGATATCTCCCTGAAAGAAAATCTACTTCTTGGGAATAAAACCAAGATTCCCTGACAAGAAGCTATCCTGTGGGGAGGACAGAGTAAGTCCTCGATTAATATGGGCTGGTTTCCTGTTGTTCCCAAGGATACATCTGGAGTGTCTGCATCCTTCCTGCTGGTGCTCCCTGACTTGCAGCATCAGTAACACCTCCTCTGTTAATTCAACCTAACCCCACAGTCCTGGCTAGGTCCTGACACATGTATGACAAGAGCATGACATCTGGTGGATACACAATGAATGTAATGACATGACTGGCGGGGGTGGGGCGGGGGCGCACGGGGCATGTATGTCCTCTGAGAAGGTGGTACTAGATTGGGAGGTAGGAAACAGGGCTTCGGAGAAAATAAGATTCAGACCCTAAAAGGAGCTTGTTCTGGGAGACAGGTGGGAAAGCTGTCCTGTAAGAATTAAGAGACTAAAGAGAATGGCTTCCTTCTCTATCCTTCCCAGACTACAATGAGATAAGAAGTTACAGCTGAGGCAAGTTTCAGGGGAAAGGCAGCAGTACAGCTCACCCCAGCTTAGCAAGCTAAAACACACCAAGTCATCGTTAGCTGCTCCCCAGTGACTCTCCCATCGTCCTCCCAGGTCTCCATCTGGGGAACCTGGGATTGTAAGAAGGCTGATTGCACCCTTTCCCCAAAGGTGGTCCGTGATGTATAGAAACACATTTGCATAAACATCTTTCTGGCCACACTAATTGGTCAAGGATGGACCTGACATAGGCTGGTTAATCATGGCAAATCTTTGGGCTTTTGCTAGGATTCCTGGCACAATGATACCCTTTCTTTCTGCTTAGATAAAATGGTCAAACAGAAGCCTGGGAGTGTTGGCAACTGTGAAGTGGTCCAAATTAAGGATGCTTTTACATTATGTGAAGCAGAAAAACACAGTGTGCAATCAGATCAAGCCTCACCTAGAGCCAGGACTGCCTCTTGACTGTGCAACTTCATCAGCGGATACATTGCTTTTATCTTTAGTGAGTTTTGAGTTAAGTTCCCAATGATTAGAAGCCAGGACATCCCTAACCTACATTCACACTTACCCTATCCCCCAGGAGAGCGCAGGGATGTAGGTGGGAAGTCATTGCAGATTTACTGTTTGTATTAAAGCTGCAGTACTGAGCTAGAAAGGCCTGAAGCAGCCATGAAGCACAATGCAAGCCAGGCCAATGGGTTCCCTGGGGGAAAGACTAGCTGGAGGAAAGGCAGGCGCAGTGAAGGACCTCTACCAGACAGGTAGGTAGAGCTCACATGAACATGGCCACTCTTTCCTCACAGACCTATCTGTGTATCATGGAGGTGTTGCTTTGGGGTCTTTATGCTCATGGGTTAGGGAACTTTGAAGTACACGCCCCTTTAACCCTTTGTTGCCCTGTGTCGCAGCATCAGCTTCTCCCTTTACCAACTGAAGAGGTTCCTTTTGAATTCTGCCTTTGATAACACTCACTTTTGAGGTGAAAGGAGGAATTTTATCTTCTGCTTCTATGGCTTCCTGGGAACTCAAGCTTCTTTCTCCTTTTGAGACAGCACCATCTTCCTGCCCTTGAGCAAGCACTGTTTCCTGCTCAGCTTCACCCACTGGCCCTGGTCTCTCTGGTCTCCCAACTAAGTTGTTTTCTCTTTTTGAGCTCCATGTCTCCCAGAGTGACCTTGGGGATCGGGGAGAGTTCACAGCAGCTGCAGACTTCTCCAGAGTAGCGTTTCTCTCCCCACTCCCCCCTGGCTTTTTTCGAGGGCGTCCCCGCTTCCTTTTCGCTTCACTTACTGTATCCTCTGTTTCGTGTTTCATTTCTTTAACTGGTGGGTCCTGCCCACTGGCCTCACTCAGAGGCACTTCAGCTGTCCTTTTGACACCCTTGTCATGGGGTTTTGGGTCACCACTTATGCCTACCTCCCTGTTCTCTGTACCACGAGGCAGAATAGGTGCTCTAGGTGGAACTCTCCCAGGCCCAAGCCCTAGCCCAGCCCCAAGCCCAGGCACTGGCCCGACCCCAGCCCCAAGTCCAGGCCCAGGCCCAACCCTAGGTCCAGCCCCAAGCCCAGGCCCTGGCCCTGGCCCAAACCTAGGCCCAAGGCCAGGCCCAGGCCCAGCACCTGACAAAGCAGGAACAGGCGGTAAGATCATGTTAATGATGGGCACAGCTGCCTGGGGTCCTCCAACCCTAGTGGGCAGAGGCAGCGTGGCTACTTTCAGAGTGCCTGAAATGGGTGTGATGAGTGATCGTGGTGCTCTCGGGAGGAGCACAGGCAGTCGGGCCACAAGGGCATTAACTTGTGGCTTACTGGCTGCTGGAACTGAGCTGTCAATTACACTCTTCTTCCGTTCTGCACGCCCTGGAGGGTCAGTCCCAGCTCGGGCTTCTAGCTCTTTAGGAGGCTACAATGCAAACAGAGCCACAGTAAGGTATAAAGACTGTAAATTCAGAAGCCGGAGAAATGGCTCAGGGGTTAGGAGAATTTGTCGTTCCTGCAGAGGATCCCAGCACCCACGAGGTAACAGTAGTAACTCTAGTTCCAGGGGATCTAAAGTCCTCTTCTCCCCTTGGACACCAGGCACTCATGGCACACATTACACGAAAACAGGCAAAACATTCATCCACACAAAATAAATCTAACTCATAAAAATAAAGACTGAGCACAGGAAGAAAAGGAGAAGTGAAGACTTAGGAGGGTCACTGCCAGAAGGGGCCACCAAGACCCCAAGCCCTCAGCACAAAGCCAGAGGCATCAGCTGCCTTACCTGGGCCGGTCTCTCTGGTTTCTTAGGGCCTCCACCTTCCAGGTTCTCAACACCATTCTTGGACTTACATGACGACCGTTCTCGAGGGGCTCTTTCATCCTCTTCTACAGAGAGACCGGAAATGATAATAAAAGTAGGGGTGAGGAGGGAACCAGGGAATGCCAAGTGAAGTGAGTCTGACGGTCTAACCGCCAGGCCCAGACCAGGGCTGGGCTGAGTTCAGTTGGTCACATGCTCTCGATGTAAGCATGACTTGAGTTCCAACTCCAGTACCTACGTAAAAAAACAGGCATGCTGGTATGCTTGTCTGTAATCGATCCCAGTCCTGGGGATGTGACAACAGGGAAATCCCTGGTGAACTGGCCTGCCATCCTCGTTCTCAGGTCCCTGTGAGGATCCTGAGGAGTGACAGTAGTGGATAGCCTCTGGCCTGTACTCCTGTCCACCCACACAGAAAGGATCACCAGGGAGAGAAGGCAATCCAAGGTGTGTCTGCCCTTGTATTCTGGAAGGCCAGAGAGTGGAGATGGAATCAGCGTACGGTGTTGGGAGGCTCAGGTGGGAGGATTGCTTGAAGCCCGGGTGTTATAGTCCATCCTCTCCAAAAATAAAAAATGAAAACCAGCCAGGCGGTGGTGGCGCACGCCTTTAATCCCAGCACTTGGGAGGCAGAGGCAGGTGGATTTCTGAGTTTGAGGCCAGCCTAGTCTACAGAGTGAGTTCCAGGACAGCCAGGGCTACACAGAGAAACCCCGTCTCGAAAAACCAAAAAAAAAAAAAAAAAAAAAAGAAAGAAAGAAAGAAAGAAAAGAAAACCAAAGTGGGTGAAGATTTCTGACGCAAGAGCAGATGCACCCACCAGCAAGCCCCCCTGCCTTAAGCACATGAGCATGTGCCGATCGTGCAGAGATGAGATGCTGCTGCAGGAGGTACCGGGCGACCTGCACAATGGAACTGAAGGACCGCTTCAGGATCCGCTCTGCCCAGTCACAAGTCAGGGCGCAGGCTGCTTCTACCAGTTCATCCCGAGGTGCTGGGCTTACTTCTGGGCCCATTTCTGGCTGGAGTGGAGAGAGACATAATCAGGTTTTGAACTGAAGTGCTTGTCTCTCGACTCTACTACTGACTAAAGCAGAGACCAGACTGAGGACAGGAGTAGCCTGCAGTCCTACTCATATAAGACTCAGAAACTCAAATTCTTTTCCTCCTATACTTCCTCCACAGGGAAGGCAGAAGGTCCCTCAGAAGCAATGTATGAATGACTGTGGTTTTCCCAGCTATTAAAATAAGTCCTAAAGGCCTGTCTTTTACCTGGGATAGAAAATTAGCATTGGAAGGTCATTACTTACACTTTCAGAACCCTTCAAGTCAAGTCCAGGCAATGGTGGCATAGATACCAAGGTCTTCCTTCGTATGCCACTGTAGCAATATCTGATCCAAGTTAAGGAGCAGCCAAAATTTAAGCCTTGTAGGCAAGTCAGGCTGTTTCTATAAGGTATCTTTCCTCCCCAGGTCCTCCAGTCCTAATCTCTCAGTCAAGGATACTTGGACTGGCCCCGACCACCAAGTCTTCGGGCCTTGATGTCAGGGAAGATCTCTCTGATGATTTTACCAAAGTTGGCTGTGCTGAGTGGACGGCAACAGGCAAGGCTCTCGCAGTACTTTCTGAGTGGGCAGAAGGGAGAGTGACAAGATATTCCGAGAAGGCTACTGGTGGATTCAAGGGTCATACTCTAGCAAGGCACTGCCTTCTTTACACACCGATAGGCATCATAGACGCTCTGCTTCGGCAGACAGGTGTCCATGTGCTCTTCCAGGTGGTTGCGGATCCACCTATAGGCATACATATATTCCTCATTGCTGAGTATACTTGGCTCTGAGCTGTAAGTAAAAGGGACAAGCATTACTTCGACAGTGCCAAACCAAATCAGTCTGTCCCAGATCCACTTTTCCCTGCTCCATCAAGTCAAGGGCCTCACTTCTTGATAAAGAATGTAAGCTATGCATCTCCTACTTCTTTGATAACTTTGTTAAAAAGATTATTGTTGGGGGCTAGAGAGATGGCTCAGCAGTTAAGAGCACTGACTGCTCTTCCAGAGGTCCTGAGTTCAAATCCCAGCAACCACATGGTGGCTCACAACCATCCGTAATTAGATTCGATGTCCTCTTCTGGTGTGTCTGAAGACAGCTACAGTGTACTCATAAACAAAGTAAATAAATCTTTAAAAAAAAAAAAAAGATTATTGTTTGTTATGAGTGTTCTGCCTGCATATGTGCATGTGCACAGCATGTGCACCTGGAGTCCATGGAGGTCAGAGAGTGGTGTCAGATTTCCAGAAACTGGAGTTAGGGATGGTTGTGAGCCACCACGGGGGTGCTGGGAACTCAAGCCAGGTCCTCTGTCAAGGGCAACCAGTGTGCTTAACCCGAGTCATCCCTCCAGCCTCCTCATCTCTGACTTTTTGACTCAATACAGTGAGACACAAAATCAGAACCTGTGACATACAAAACACTACCACCCAAGTACCTCTTCTCTCCAATGCTAGGCCCCGAAGGGAGCTGAAGGTAGAGGTACAGCTTGTCGTTGTCTGAGAACTTCTGTACTTCTTGCTGAGGCAGAAGGGAACAGAGGTTGGAGAAATGAAGCAACGGGCCCAGTGAGTGATCTTCTGATCTTGACCACACCAGCTGACTCTATGACAGGTTGTCAGAACGAAAAGGGACCTAAGAAATGACTTGAGGTTGGGTGCTCACTGTGCTGGGAACCTTATGGGCTTGCCATGGAGAGGAAGGGAGAAAGGGGAAGGCACTGGGTCTGATTCCATCTCCTTCTACATAGGTCACACAAGGCTAAAGTATGATGCTCACACGTGGACAGCACCACCTCTCCCACATGAACCTTCATTTTCTCACACCAACATTAGCCTTATCCCTCAGCAATGCCACCTTTACTGTCCCTTCCCAACATGCTTACCAGAATTCCCTCTACTTTGTTCTGCACGGCCTTGCTGTGGAGAAGAAGAGAAAGCTGGAGGTCACAAGGTTTCCCCATCCCTTTGTTTGACTGCTAGAGACAGAAAAAGGACCAAACAGCTACCGACCACAGACCTCAGCCTGCTCTCAAACACTTGCCTGAGGGAGGAGTGAAGAGTAACAAGGATCTACAGCTGGGTCTGGAACAGGGTTTGGAGACAGAGACAGTTACTTACGAAATGGTACCTCGGAGCCTTTGGAGAAGGGTAGTAGGTTCCCCAGCCTCAGCACCAGCTTGGGGCCTTGCCCCAGTCTTGGGGCTCTTAGCATCAGGTTTATCTTCTGCCATCCCAGCATGAGGACTAGAGCTGAGAGGAGATATGAGGATTTAACTCCCACCAAGCTACCTTCCTCCTAGAGACCAGCCCTCCTGTCAATACCCAGAAACACAGACAGAAGCAAAGCTTCCCCCAGTGGTTTTCCTCACCACTTGCCTTCTCTAAAATTAGAATTATTCCGTTACTTTATCAGGCCCTTGTATACCCAAAGAGATCTCTGACATCTCCATTCTATATGTCCCACCTTTTGAAGTCTCCCAAATCTGGAAAACTGTTATGGGAAGGGATGGGGTGGAGAAATCCATGTTAAAAGAAATCTTACAATTTCTCCCAGTGCTGCTGCAACACTGCCACCCCCCCCAAAAAAAAACCCAAAAAACAAAAAACACCTATAAGGACAAGCCAAAGTTCTCCGATCCTGTAATAGACTCCTTGCCATTGATTTTGCCTGGAAGGTCGGAAGGGATACAAACATACTCGGCCTTTCCAGGTTTGAAAAAAAAACTGGGCCCAAGTTCACATTACTGAGTCTCGCCACGGCTTCCCCCGCCGCCCCCCTCGCCGTGGCGCGGACCCTACGTCATCCCACGACATCCCACCCCGAGGCGTCCCCACTCCCCTCGGGCCCCTCCACCCCATCCCCAGGTGCTGGCCCGCGGGGGCTCGGTCTCCGAACTCTGGGGACTGGGCGCAGGAAACCCTGCGGGGAACAGGGTCCCAGATTCGGGCACGTGCGCAGGGGCAAGGAGCTGGTCCTGCTGGCTCCCGAGTCCTGTTGCCCCTCCTACCTCGGAACCGTCCCCTTCCAGCACGGACATTAGATAGGTAAGAGAGAAAGAGAAACTACCCCGTGGCTACCTCTGCTCCAGCCCAGCCCCACAGTGCCCGGTCGGCGGGCTCGTGCGTTGCTTTTATTTTTCCTTTTTCTGAATGGTTGTGCCAACCGCGATCTGCCTGGATACACGCACGGCCTGCTCTGTGATTGGCCGTTGCTGCCTCCAAGACGAAGACATTGAAAGTCTGCCTGGTAACAGAATCTGATTGGTCGAGAGGGGAGGGAAAATCCAAAGTTAGTCTTATTTGAGTCAAGAGGGGGAAGTCCAGGTTAGGTTTCGGTTAAAACTGGGGTCGGTTAGGTCTGCGGGTCCGGAAAGGGTTCTGTTCTTAAAGGGACCGCAGGATGAAAGCCCGAGCGCTCAGCTGCCTCTGATCCAGTGATGAGCGAGAAGACGGATAAGGGACCAACCTCGGGCTTTACTCGGAAAAGACCTACGTAGATGCCCTCTAGGGTCCAAGAACCACAGACGGGAGTTACAGGGTAGGAAAGTGGTTGGCTAATCGTAGCTGGGGAATAAGGTGAGTTTAAAATGTCAGAAGGTTGATAAAATACTCCCATTATTGGGGGGTCGATAAGGACACGGAAAGCAAGAATCTATAAAAACAAGTTACTTTGGTTGTGAGAACCAAATTTCTTAGGTTTCAGGAACTCTGGTTGTTTAGCCAAAATTGGGGAGCTTTACAAAATGGACTGGCCATAGCTACCATGTTTGATTTTTGCCTTTGGTTGTCAGAGCTATCCGAAAGAATCAGTGGGTGATATTTTTAAATTTTTGCTAGAAAATGATGTCTAGTGATGGCAATTCGTTTTAAAGTTCTGTAACTTTAATAAAATAAAATAAAACAAGTCGAACCATTCCTCTTTGCTTACCCACCCCCTGTGGCCACAACCTCTAGACTTGCAGGCTTCCCTTCATGCCACAAAGAGTCTGCAAATCCTTACCAGCTGTACCACATTAAGAGAAAATGTTTTTTCTCTGTTGTTAGCCATGGTCTCCCCACTTTATAAAGTGCCTCCATTTTAGTTAAACCATGACAACTCCCCTAGAACCAAAGTTAATGCCAACTTGTTTTCAAGATTCCTGACTCCTCACCCCACCTACCCCAGTAAACCACAAGAGGTGTTCATTGGTTGCCTGACCCACCCACTACACGCCCTGTCTCCCTCGCTACCCATAGCAACTGCTGACCATTGGCCACAAGAGGAAATTGTACGGTCTTTCCACTGAAGACGCTTGGTCCTACCCCCACTGCAGGTATGTTCCAGAATAAAGCCTGTCTGTCCAGTAGTCCTCCTCTCTGGATTTTCTCCTTGCCCACCTTCGCCTGTTCATGTTTTCATTTCCTGTGTGTACTTCATCTCCTTCCTAGGGGGCACACTCCTGGAGTTCCCTGCTTGAGAACATTGGAATTTTGGTTAAGTCAAGAAAGAAGAAATTTAGTACTGTGACAACTTTTCCCTTCAGGTGCTTAACCCTCCTTGTTAAGATTTGTTGAAATTAGCCGGGCGGTGGTGGCACACGCCTTTAGTCCCAGCACTTGGGAGGCAGAGGCAGGCGGATTTCTGAGTTCAAGAGTTCGAGACTAGCCTGGTCTACAGAGTGAGTTCCAGGACAGCCAGAGCTACACAGAGAAACCCTGTCTCAAAAAAACAAAAAAAAAAAAAAATTTTTTTTTTTTTTTTTTTTTTGTTGAAATTGTGACGAAAAATGCACGTGCAAGGTTTTGCACCTCTCTCAAGTGTTCATGGTCCCCGGGTCAACAGTCTTGTCACAGCAGAGATGTAGTCATATTTCCAGTCCTCACTGGACTGCTTTTGTAAAGGGGTGGTGTTGGTGGTGGAGGTGCTTGTGGTCTTATCCCCGAGTCCCTGCTGAGACCACCATTTTCCCTACTGTGGGAAGTGGAAATGAATCTTTTCTTTGGAAGAGTTAATGAGACCAAATAAGTTCTATCTTTAAAGGAATTAGTAAAGATGCCACTGGACAGGCACCCTCCAGTCAGTATTTTCTTTAGACTGAGGTAATGTGCTCAAGGTTGCTCTCTGAGTTAAAGGTGGAGTCACTTCCTGTGCTAAAAGTTGCACTTTGCTAATGCTGTGCTGCTTTAGGGTACCCAACCAACCAAGACCCTGAGGCAGCCTCTGACCAGGCAAAACAAGGCACAGGACCTCTTTAGGCAGTGGCATCTCTAGGTGGGCAGGTCTGGGATATATAAGAAGGGTACCTGAGTTTGGGTAGGGGAGTAAGCCAGTGAGCACCTTTCCTGTGTGGTTCCTGCCTCTGCTCCTGCTGGAGCCTGAAGTGGAAACTTAAGGGTTCTCTGGAGAGTCAGTTGTGTTGGAAGGTGTTTTGCTGGGGCAAACACATGAAGGAATGTTTTCCTGACATGGACACAGGTGAAAGACTAAGGCAAACTTGTGAAATTGCTGAGTCATATGGTAGTTCTATTTGTTTTCTTTGTCAAGTATTAAGTGAGAAAAGTTTTGCCCTTTTATATTAGGCATATAAATATATTAGAATGCAATATATTCTATTCCATTGGTCTACTGTCTATTTCCTGCCAGGACCAGGCTGTCTTTGTTACTATAGCTCTCTGGTATAATTTGAGGTAATCGTAATGCCTTCAGCAGTGTTGTACTCCCTGGGACTGCTTTCTATTCTTCTGTGTTTCCATATGACTTCTTGTATTGTTTTTTCTAATCCATGAAATATGAGATGAGAATTTTGATAGGTACATTCATTCTGTATATTAATTTTGCAATATAGGTATTTTCATAATATTCTGTCTATTCAGGAATATGAAATATTTTTCCATTTTTTAAATTAAATCTGTGATTTCCTTTTTCAGTATCTTGAAGTTTTCATTGTAGAGGTCTTTCACACTTTTATGAATATATTCATAAATACTTAATTTTGGGGTGGAGTTATTTTGAGTGGAATATTTTTCCTAATTTGTTTCTCCAGCAGTACTGTTAGTACAAATCAGTGCTACTCCTAGAGACAAATGAAAATGAAAGTGTATCTTATCAGAACCTCTGGGATGTGGCCAAGGCAGCCCTAAGAGGAAAGTTTATAGTAATACGTTTTCATATTAAAAAATCTGAGAGATATTGCTGGGCATGGTGGCACACACCTCTAAACCCAGTATTAGGACAGCAAAGGCAGACAGATTTTTGAGTTTGAGGCTAGCCTGCTCTATGAAGCAAGTTGAATAGCCAGGGCTCCACAGAGAAACTCTGTTTTTATTTAAAAAAAAATCTAGTGATGCACCTTCAAGCAGAGAACCCTAAACATAGTGGACAGCAAGAAACAGTATAGATTAGGGCAGAAAGTAATAAGTTTGAGATTAAAAAGACAGTATACAGGGGCCTGGAGAGATAGCTGCTCTTCCAGAGGTCCTGAGTGCTATTCCTTTTTTTTTTGTTTTGTTTTTTTTGTTTTTTGTTTTTTGTTTTTTTTTTTGTTTTTTCGAGATAGAGTTTCACTGTGTAGCTCTAGCTGTCCTAGAACTCACTCTGTAGACCAGGCTGGCCTCGAATTCAGAAATCCGCCTGCCTCTGCCTCACAAGTGCTGAGTTCTATTTCTAACAACCACATGGTGGCTCACAACCATCTGTAATGGGATCTGATTCCCTCTTCTGACCTGCAGGTGGACATGCTGGTGGAGCGCTCATACATAAGATAAACAAATTTTTTTCTCCAATTGTGTGACATTTGAGATTCTGGGAACTTTTCATAGGGCATATTAATTACAGAGCCCCGATAGGTGGAATTGGTATAGTTTATTTGTCATGGTCAAAGAAGAAAGGAACAAAATTAGATTCAGGGATCATTCTCTCTCCCTTACATTCTTTTTTTCTCTCCTATCTGAAATGGGGTGGAGTGGGGATAAAGAATGAGGAAAAAGAAAAATCCACAAGTAGTAGCAAAGGCCAACTATAAGTGTGTGTGTGTATGTGTGTGTGTGTGTTTTCATTCAAAGTAATTCCCCTGGGCTGATGAGATGACTTGGTTAAAAAACTGTTGCCATATCTGAGTTCCAAACCCAGGACCCATGGGATAGATGGAGGAGATACATGTACAATGGCATATGTTCATGTACACATACACATACACACATTCATGCACTGTTCTGGTTGTTTTTTTTTTTTTTCTTCAGATTTATGTAGCCCTGGCTATCCTGGAACTAGATATGTAGACTGAGATCTGCTGCCTCTACCTTCCGAGGCCTGGGATTAAAGGCGTAAGGGTGTGCCACTCCACCTGGATGGGAGACATATGTACTGGGTTTTGAATCTAGGGCCTTCGTGCACGTGGAGAAGATGCTACAGGAGCTATGTGAGCCACACAGAGCTACACGTGCAGCTCATGCTAACCAGCCATGAATGGTCCAGTTTCTCTGTATTCTTAGCAGTTCATTTCTTCTCCCTCTTCCCCCTCCTCCCCCTCCTCACTGTGGTGCTGGAAATTGAAGCCATGATCTTTTTTTTTTTTTTCCCAAGATAGGGTTTCTCTGTGTAGTCCTGGCTGTCCTGGAACTCACTCTGTAGACCAGGCTGGCCTCGAACTCAGAAATCCGTCTACCTCTGTCTCCCAAGTGCTGGGATTAAAGGCGTGCACCACCACTGCCCAGCATAAAGTCATGGTCTTATATGCACTCCACCACTGAGATTCTGTCATAGAGTTTGAGACCTTTGGGAAAAGACCATCAGACTCAATTCAGATTATAATTTGCCAGATTTATTAAAGCTACTAACAGAGTTGCAGTCTCCAATCCAATTCAGAGACGTGCTGCCCAGAGCAGGGTAAGGAGAAAACCTTTTAAAGGAGAAAGCCACAATTACTTCATTTCTGAAGAATTCCAGCTATGTGAGGAACTGCCTTACTCTCTTCCCCTCTGCACGGAGAGAGAGATAAGTGAGTTTACAGAAGCCAGAGCAAGCAGTTAATCATTTTACAACAGTTACTCAATTCTGAAGAGGGGTGGAGGATTCAGGGAATTTATCTTTTAGGAATTTTGAATGTGTGCCTAGCACAAAGTGGAGTCTTCCTCAGCCATCACAATATACCTCTAGTTTTATTATTCTTTTTAG